GGGTAGCAGGAAACTCTCTGCACACTCACTGGACCTGGGCTAGGACTGGGTCTGGGGTCTCCTGGAACTGGGCAGAAAATCCTACTCGGTGGGCGGGGTGGGGGAGGCACTGAGGAGTGGTGGGGGGCGGCCCGAGGGGCTGGGAGAGGGTCCGGCCCATGCTGCGCCTTTGCTGGGACTGGTCCCGCTGGCAGGGTAGCAGGAAACTCTGCACACTCACTGGACCTGGGCTAGGACTGGGTCTGAGAATTTATTCTTTTATACTTGAATAATGAATTTTTTCCAGCAACATTTGTTAAAGAGAGTATCTATCTTCAGCATACATTTTTATTTTGGAATTTGCAGAATCAAGCATAGACCGATTAATTGATATGGGCCTTTTCTTTCTTTTAGCAAGTTTACCTAATGGTTTATTAAATTTAACCTTTTGAAGAAGTAAATCTTAGATTTTTTGTTGTTCATATTTTTAGACTTAATTTCATACTTACTGCTTGTATGATTATAATTTCATTTTTAGCAAGAGCTGAAGTTGAGTTGTTATTTTCTTGGCGATATTTTTTTTTCAGCAAAATCCAGTATTTATTTTTATAGTGCTTTATAAATAGAATTTTCTTCCACTTCTATCCATTTCCTGGGGCTTATGGACCCATTCATACTCTCCTTATTTAGAATCAAAGGTTCCTTTCTGAAGAGATCTTAATTTGAAGGTAAAATGTGGTCCAAGTTCTTGAATTCCCATTTTCTTTTCACTCTTAAATATGTACCTATGAAATCTGAAGAAAATGTAATCCCTCTGATTGTGGAATGTGGCAACCTGTCTTCCAATAAATTGAGGATTATGGGGGGAAAGAGAAGCAAACATACGTACAATTGAATGACCCAACCTTGTTGTAAAGTTATTCAAAATTATTTCTGATACATGTTCTTTTGGGGCCTTGCCCCTTCTCTTAAATTCTTTTCGAAGACGAACACTGCTCATTTAAAAATGAGCAGTTATTTGGCAAGTGACTCAAAATAAGTCCATTTGGTGTTTTACAATCTTCATTAACTGCAATTAGATCAGTGAAATCTCTTGAGATGCACTGTGGAATAATGTTTTCCAGAGCCAATCTTCTTCTATAATAAACATGTGAGTTGGGTATAACTGTTGAGAGCTGCTGGCAGAGTTTTACTCTTCTCCCATGGGGTCTATCTGATGTTGTGATGAGAATCTTGGGAGAAGTTTCTCTGTTGAAGCAAGGAGCAAATTCATCTGTAGCTTCATCATAAACAACCTCCTCATCATTAGGGCTATTGTAGTTTCATCATTGACTCATTGGTTGTCGATAGCCTTGTGTACTGGTTTTGGTGGAGCCTTATCACCAAGAGCTTTTCTCTCTTAAGTTTTTTCTTAGCAGTCAACTTTTCCTTCCACTGCTGCTGTTTTCACCTCGTGAACATTAAGTGTCGCCGCTGCTTGTTCTTAATTTCCAAAATGCTGAAGCCTGAGGGGAAGGCAGTCGCTTTTGGGGGCTGGACTCCGCCTTCCGTCGTGCCATCCCTGGCAACTGCAGCCTCTTGAGGGTCTGCTGCAGCGGCTTTCCGTTTCAAGCTTTTCTTTCCGCTGCCGCCACTCTTTTCCCTGGCCTTCGCCATGTTGTTCGCTCCCAGGAGATATGTTTTTAATGTGGTTATTCCCCTTTAAACTGCTTTCCATGTCGCATAGGATTTAGTATGTTGTGTTGCAGTTGTCTATTGGTTTTAGGGATGTTATACTTTCTTCCTTAATTTCTCTGTTATTTTGTCACCACATTGGTCATTTCTGCAGCCTATACTTTCAAGATAACTTTTATATCCTAGATTTATGTTCGATTTTTTCGTGATTTGTAATATCTTATGAACTCATGTGTATATTATGCTATATTATTTAATATCCTCAACATTTTATTTCTTCTTAAGCTTGGGCATCATTTTATAAATTAACTCCTTTATCCCTTTACATCCTTTTGAGTTTGATGAATAGCTTATGGATTTGTTTCTTTTTTTTCTCTGATATCTTCAAATATTTGTTTTTATTCTTCATACATGTCATTGCCTAACAGATCAATTTGTTGTGAATTAAGAATTTTTGTAAGTATCTGTTGCTTTATTTTCTCATGTTTCTACTGTTTTCATGTGGAGGGTTGAGGATCAGTTGTGACAAACAAACTTGGTTATAATTGGAGCTCTATTTAGTTAGTGTATGTTTCTCTGTCCCATGATTTTGGGTTAGGTTATGTTTTGGCATTTATACACCACTTTCTCCTACTCATTATAATAGGATCATTTCTAGTCTATGTATTGAGAGGACAATATCATTACCAATTACATCAGCATTTTGTAGAACTAACCATCTACCAATCACGTAATTGAAAGCTTTGTAAAAAATACTTATACCCTCTTTTTCAATAACTCAGAAAAACTGTTCTCAGGCTGTAGAGGATGAGAGAGGTAAAAGAAAGGAAACATCAGAAAGAAGGAAAAGAGATAAAGCAGAAAATAGCAAATGAAAAAGAAATAGTTAGGACTTTGTTGATACTGTTTTTATATCTGTGGGAGAGGAGGTTTGAGAGAATATTTTCCATGGTGTGAAAAACAATGAGATAACAAAGTGTAATTGAAGATTGAGAGAAGCTGTGAGGTCAAAACCAGTTACTGTGTATATAAAAATAAGGAAGAGAAAGGAAAACAACATATATACAGAACCATAAAAGTAGAGTCTCCTCAGTTTTCTAGTATTCAGTCACAATTTAGTGTGTATGCTGTTCCATTTCATTGCATAAATGCAGAGAATTTGATAGGGTGGGGGAGGGGTGCCCACACTGAGCGCTGAGCTTGCCTCCTTTCCTCTGGAGAGTGTTTTGCTTGGTTTTAGGTTAGCTTCTATGGGTGTGGCCAGACAGATCTTTGTTAACTTATATACTCTAGAATAAAAAAGTAAATATTCTGCACATTATATTATCAATAAACATATAAAACAACTAAGGATCTCCTTTAATAGAGCACTTCTACGTCTTGTCCTTATTTGAATATTCACATTTCACGATGCATACCTTTTCACATTAATGAAGATATTTTGTATCAAAAAAGAAGAGATAATGTATTAATCTCCCCCAAAATTGTACAAACATTGCTGGCATCATATGGTTAATTCGAAAACTGTAAATAACTTAATGTAAATTCATTTGTAAAGTGAATTATATATGATGAGTCTGTAGGTTGTAACATTTTAAAATATGAACTACTTTACTATTTTTATATTGGTCAAAGGTTTACAGTCCACAGGAAATAGAGAATTGAATTTATACTCATAAGTTAATTGTAGGTGTATGAATATACCATTATGATTCTATTTTCTCTATGAAAGCAGGTTTCTAGGGGCCTCTTGTCAATGTACATGAACAACATAATATTGAAGTGTACCAGAATCCTCAAAACTGAAATAACAGTTGTCTTTCGTTAGTTTCTGCTATATATTTAATAGAGAAAAGCAATAACATAAAACAAGTAGATATCACAGGTGTGGTTTCAAAACAACATTCTAGAATAGTCTGAGTTCCTATAGATTCAATCTAATATCCAGAAGAAACTCTAAGCTAGAAGTTATGAGCTCTAGTCAAAATTCTATAATTTATTAGCTGTTAGATAAAATAAAACATGTTTTTCTGAACATCTGTTTTTTGTTTCCTAGCTTCAAAATTACTGGGGTCAACAATAAAGTTGATGATGATGACAAGGATTATATTACAATAGTAGTGATAAAGATCTATTACTAAAAAAATCTATTACTAATCTATTTTATACTATGTAATTTACAAACATTGTTGTATTCATTTATAACAACAAATCATGTCTAATTGTACAAATAAAAGTGAGGCTTGTAAAGGCATTTATCCACACATTCACATATGTACGCACACGTACAGTTTTCTCAGGATCACAGAATAAGTGCTATAATCAGAGTTGCAGTACAGAATCCATGTTTTCTGGATCTGAAGCATCAATCATTGTCTTACAATCTTTATCTTAAGCTTATCTTAAGAACTTTGCCCCTACCCATGTCTCTAGTATACCTCCAGGCACTCAAATTTACTACATTATACTACTTTCTAATTTCATATGTGCATACCTTCAATAGTATAGTCTTATTATATATTTAGATACTAAAGTGCTTGTTGAGTCATCAAAGATTCATCAATATTCATTGTAGTTACAGTGTTAAATTAACTGGAATAATAATTTCATCAGAACGTGTACCACCCTGGCCTACATAGGTAAGTATTTGAAAGGTCACGGATGCTTGGTCAAATGAAAACATAATTCAGTATAAATTTTGTCAATGAAAAAATATGAGAAATTATGTATCACTAATCAAAGCTACAAACTCTAGGATTGGAATTATTATGTGAAAGAACACATAGAATTCTTAATAACGTACTAAGTTGTTTTTCTTGCTTCACATTATTTATTCTCAGTGGTAATTTGTGACATGTGTATGTGTTCCAGGAATACTATCCTCAGGTTCATTGTCATCATCACATTGTCCAACAGCCCCCAATCACCCACTCTTCACACTGTCAACAATGCCATTCCAGCCAACAAATAAAAAGCATTACAGAAAGTGATTCAACTTCTACAAACATTGGAAATGAACTTTGCCATGGTGGGTCAAGCCAGATACATGAGCAGGTAATATCAGTTGATTCCTTGTCAAAGTAAATAACATTCTTGAACTCTTCTCATACCAGTACACAAGTAGTTATTATTTTACTCTTTTATATATCTGTCTTCCATCGTGCAAACTGCACAATATAAATTGCTTTTTGGCACTGGTGGTCTTTCAAGTTTTTTCATTTTTTATCTTTGTTAGTACATTATATTGTCATCAAAATAATGTGGAGTTATACCACTAATATTTTCATTTTGTTATAGTATTTTTTAAATGAATTCTTTAATTTCTTCTCAAGATAAACAACTCAGGTTCAATAATATATTAAATCTATGTGGGGACATATGATTTTTATTAACATATACATAATTTTTAGCTGATCCTCAGTTCTAAAATGAGCCCTGACAGACATTGTAGTACAAGTCTATAATCCCAGAACTCAGGAGGCTGAGGATCACTGCAAGCTCAAGGCCAGCCTGAACTGCATAGTAAAATCCTGTCTCAAAAAAATAACTTAGGGCTGGCCAAATAGCTCAGTGGATTAAAGCACCTGCAAGCAGGTGCAGTGGTCAGGGGTTTGATCCCCCGGCCTGCTGTGCTGGTCCTGCCCCCGGGGCATGCTGAGTTGGCAACTGAGACTGGGTGTGGTGGTGTGCACCTGTAATCCCAGGTCTTGGGATTCTGTAAACAGGCAGATCACTATGAGTCCGATCTAGTAGTGAGACCCTGAACACCCTATAGACCCTTTGCTAAAATACAAAAAATAGCCTTAAAAAATAAAATAAAATAAAATAAGCCCCAAGATACTACAATGTAAAATATTTTCATAAAGTATGGTATTTAAATGAATAATAAATTGGAAATGATAGTACCTCAGATTATTATAATGGTAACATTTTATAAATAGTAATTATTTCCTGAATATTTTATTTAACAATATCTCATAGTAATTCAAGCCAAAATATGCTTATCTATTATTATATAGTCAATAAAATAGAAACTAACAGTTGCTAAGGAGAAACCCACTGAAATTACAACATTTTCAGTGGATAATTTATGTTATGTGGACTTTGGAATCTTGTCAACAATTGCTATTCATGGGTTAAAGGAAAAAAAAATTCTTGAATCTGGTAAATCTAGCATTAATAATTGGAACAATGGAACATCAAATATCATTTGTGTTTTCCCATACCTCAAATTGATCCCTTTCATAGACAACTTTTACTAGGAAAAAAAAATAAAGATGCAAACTTACAATATAAGAACTTGAGCTGCTTAATATGAAATATAATGAGATTTTTCTAAAGACTGAAACTTTCAAATATATACTTTGGCCACATTGGTCAAAAGAACTATAAATGATTTTAGAAATTCATATTTTTTAAATCTAAAATAAAAATCTTGTCTTACTTTTCAGTGCTTCTGAGTGCTTTCCTACTGATTAACCTCTAGAATAATTCTAAACCACAGTGCAGTTTAATTTCTTACACTGAATGGATGAGTAATTGCTATATAAGAACCAACTCATCAGATTAAATTTATGAAATTGTTACTTTCATATATCAACATTGGTCAGATACCAAAAATTTCAAAGACTTTAATCTGTTTACCCTAGTAGGGGTAAGTGGTAAGCTCAAATATGATGCAAAGAACACTTTTCTGTCACAAAAAAGAATAAACCACGTACTTTGGAAACAGAAGAGAGAAAAATTCAGTGTAAAGTGGGATATCAAAGAAGGGTTTTTTGATGTTGTGGTTTAGATTTAAAATGACTCCCCAAAGTGTCATGTATTCAGAAGTTGGACTTTTGGGCTGAGACTTGATTATATAATGAAATAATCCACTAATGAGTTCATAGTTCAATATACCATTAGGATTTTCTGAAAAAGGTATGTCACTGGGAGCATGACATTGAAGGATATATTCTTGTCCCTGTTCTTTCCATTCTCTTTCAGTCTTGACTTCCAAAGATTGAGGCACTTTTTTATACTAGGCTTTTCTGCTGTCACATTTCTGCTTTGGAACCTCCTGGGTATTGATGGAACCCTCTGAAACTAAGCCAAATAAGTCTCTATGTTTTCAAATTGCAAGTATCAGAAGTTTAGTCCTAGTGATAAGAAAACGATTACAGCTGAGAAGGTTGGAATTGAAAAATGGTCATTATTTCTACATAAGAAAAATCATGGGAACAAAGCCATAGATTTGGGAAAGTAAAATCTGAGCTTCAGAAATAGTTATTGGTTTAATTTTTATAATATGGAAGACATAGGATAAGCAGATGCTACAGTAGGATGTAGTATTAATGTGAAATATTATGGATCATGAGGGTCTTAAGTCTTCAATATCTTAACTTTCTCTTAACCTGCTCATACTCAAATCTCCATTGCTGCTTTTCACCTCTGCAGGTATCTTGCCTTTTGCCTAAAATAGGTAACAGATCTCAAATTCTAGCATGTACCTGATTCAGTTAAGTGGTCTCTTTAATTAAACTGCTGAGGGCTCAAAATTTGCATTTCCAAATGCCCTGGTTATGTTCTGGAGCAGAGGTCACAATTTAAGCTCACTATATGAACTTGATTAACATTCCACGTAACAGAAAAATTTCTCTATAGACTTACTTCCTATTTAATTTTGATACCTCCAGTGTCTATAAACTAAGTACTGAATAGGTTTAGGCTTAATTATATTTATTCTAAGTATCTTGTTTTAAGTGTATGCATATTTTCCTATTTGTTTAGCATTATTATACAGTTCTTAAAATGCCATGTTATATAAAAGTAGTAGTCTAACACTCTAAAAATCATAAACGTATTAAGTAACAAATTATGTGCTACAATCCAATTGAGCAGTAACTGTTGTATGACAGTGAAAAACCACATTATTAATAAAACTTTAAAACAAGCAGACTATATCTACATAGTATGGGTCAGCAAATCTTGTAGGATATGGTGACATTTGCAGATAAATTAGGCTCCCATTTGATTCACTTTTCTTTGATTACAGATATATAATAGCTGTCTGACTGATTAAATGCACAATGAATTCATTGGGCATTAATACCTGAGAAAATTAAGTGTGTTTTAGGTACATCTTTTGGCTAAGAAAGTAAAGGGAGAAAAAAGTCCAGTCTCTTCTTATTGTTTACCCAAACTAGCAAGCAATCTTAGTAAACAAATAAAATATTAGGTTCTGAAAATCACTTTTATTTTAATCTTTAAAAATTTTATTAAAATATTTATAATACTTGGTATATATATATATATATATATATATAATTTTATTGAGAAACAAATACCAATGAGACAGTTTCAAAACTGATTAATAGGACAGTTTCAATAATTAATACTTTGTACATTGTTCTCTTCTTACTGGTTATCCATAGTACAAGAAGCAGACAGGATATCCTGCCCAAATACTATTAGTACAAATCTTTCCTCTCATTGAGTTAAGCAAAAGTAGCTGTGTATCTATCCTAACTATTCTGTATATACAGATACAAAATGGCCCCTCCTTTGTATCCCCTTTTTCTCTTTAGTCCTGTGAGAGATGGATATTCCATTGGTATCTAAGTACTATAGGTGTGTGAATTCAGGAAAACAATCTGACACAGTCCAGGAGTCCACAATAGTAGTGGGTTATCCACAGAAGTTGTTGACTTGAGCCTTTCACAGCTCAGCATATTAATATGGCTTTACTTTACATACCTTGTTTTTATACTTTTCTGCTGGATGGTTAAGACCAAGATAAAGCAAGACCTATATAACAAGAAATATAATGACTTTTTTTTGGCCGAACTGGGGATTGAACTCAGGCCCTTGAGCTTGCCAGGCAAGTGCTTATTCTACTGAGGCATCTCCCTGGCCCCTTAGTATATATTTTATTTTAGTTTTTTTTTGGTGGATCCAGGGTTTTGAACTCAGACACTTGTGCTTGCCAGGCAAGTGCTTATTCTACTAAGCCATTTTCCTTAGTATATAATTTAATCAAAATTTATTTAATAATTTTCTGTGTAATTATATCTTACAACATTCAATAAACAATACAATTTTAAGATATAGACAATAGTATCTAGTGTCTTTTCAAATTCCTTTTGCATTGTGTCTTTCAACATACACTTTACACTGTTGCATTGGCTTTTCCTGTTTTCTGTGGTTTTATTACATATTGTCACTGATTTGAATTTACTATACAACCATAATTCTTTAATTTTTTTTAATCTTTTATTTGGTACAGGGCCTTGCTATGCAGCTCAGACTCGTAGTGACCCTCTTATCTAAGCCTCCAAAGTGCTGGGATTATAGGCCTGCACCACCACACCCAGTTTCAGTGGCCAGTGCAGAGTGGCTGACACAACATGTTCGGGTTTCTGGGGCCAGTATGGCATGTGGCAGCAGGGATCGAACCCAGGTCTTTGTACTTGCCAGGCAGGTGCTTAGACCGCTGAGCTATATCCCCGGCCAATGACCATAATTCTAAAATAAAGATTTATTTACTCAGATAGTTTTGTACTAGAAATAAAGACATAATACAATTTTATATGTAAATATACTTAGTTAATATTATAATGAAGGAAAAATAGAATTTAAAGTTGTACTTGCTTGAAAAAATATCAGACAAGAACACACAGATAACTCAGCCGAAATCAGCAGTAATTTCTTATATACTATATGCAATGCTCAATAATCACTACCACTGAAAAAAAATGATTGATCAAAAGTATCATTTTTGTATATTAAAGTTTTTATAACATATAGTCTTTAAGGAAGAAAACTTTACCTACTATTCTCAGAATCTTATGGGCCCACCACAAATGCTTAATACCCATACTAAAATTAGGACATGAACTTCCAAGGTAGTAGTGAGGTGAGTTCCATAGTTTCCCTTAGAAAAGTAATTATTCCTGAAAGATTTTCTTTAAAATGACTATTAATTTAACTGTGGCTATACACCCTAATATTTTTCCTTTGCCTTAAGTTTGTTAGCACATTGTTTAGCAAGGACTTCTCACCTGCAATCAGAGCCAAGGAGTTAGACAGCTTGGTCATTATTATAGTGAAACACTGATTTGATTGAGGGTATCTCCTTGATGCATGCTCAATAATCTGTAACAACATTATAATTTTTTGAAGAAATACCAAATTTTGCTTATCTTGGGAAGTACTCTCTTTAGCAATCTGTATTCCTTTACTGTTTATATGTGAAAGGCTGAACTTACTATCTGAGATTGACATTTGCGGTTCCACTCCTTCATTGGGTAGATAAATAAATATGCAGTATATGTATATCTCAAGTATCCTGTCTACTCACTATTGTCACACAAAGAAAGCCTCTGTTTATGAGTACCAGAATTCTTCTGGATGATGGCACTCATATTTCTTTGGGAAGTCCCTTATCTTGGTTTTCTTATGACAATAAGATGGCTTTAAGCCAACTCTGAAAGCTATGTCAAACACAACCAAATATAATCCAACAAAATTAAGCAGCTTTGAAGAGATGACTTAGTAACAGAATATACTACTAACTGCAACACCCCAGCTTATGACTAGAAAACTTCATCTTTCTTAGTACTAGTCTTGTCACAGTTAATAATAGATAAGAATTAGACCTGTCAGTCCTCATGTGTCCAAACATTTGAATTCAACTGGATTTTCCAACTGGATTTTACTCAACTGTTATTATAAATTGTAGACTGAAAAACAAACCTAAGAAAAACTATAAACGCAAAATGTGAATTTTCCTAACTACAATTATCAAAAGAAACTCATTCTTTAATTTTGATTCATTTACCTTTTCTCTAGATAAGTGAAAATATTAGTTACATTTTAGACATAATTTCAATACTTTTACCCTAATAAAGCAAAAATCATATCCCAACTAGGAAGGTAACATATTATAGTGAAAACACACTAAATATCACACAGTGTTGCCTCATTTTGTCTTTATGTGAACTGTATCACACTGCCTGCCAGAAAATAGTAAGTAGCAAATAAACATTAGTTATTATTATGTATTTTTACAATAAAATCATTTTCCTTTTTATGTATTTCTAGCTTTTAAAACATATATAACACTGATCTCAATCATTCTATTTCCCAACCTCTGTGATTCTTGGAATGCATTAAATCCACCACAGAAATCACACAAATAAAATTTTATTAATGGCAAAATTATTCATATGAGCAAATAATTAGGTACCTAAAAGGTCTATGAATGTACAGCAAAATGATAGGAGAATACTTGTGTAAAAAGCAAATACTTCAAAATGTGGTAGTACATGTTTGTAACCTCAGCACTCTGGAAGGTTGTGGAAAGATGATTCCAAGTATGAGACCAATGTAGGCAACTTAGTAAAATACTGTCTAAAATGAAAATAAATACAAAAAACATATTTCTCAGAGGAAGAAATACAAATAGCAAATAAATATATGAAAAAATGTTCAACATCCCTGGTCATTTGAGAGATGCAAACTAAAACAATGTTGAGATTCCATGTCACTACAGAAAGAATGGCTATTATCAAGAAATCAAGGTACAACAAATGATGGCGGAGCCATTGGGCAAAAGAAAGCCTTCTCCACTTGTGGTTTCTTTTTTTGTTTTAAATTTTTTTTTTATTTATTTATTTGAGAGAGAGAGAGAGAGAGAGAGAGAGAGAGAGAGAGAGGTGTGTGTGTGTGTGGCCAGCTCAGCCCACCAGGGGGCGGGGCTGGCTGGCATGTGGTGCTGGGGGATTGAACTGCGGTCCCTGATGCCTTGCCAAGCTTGTTCTAAGTAGGTGCTTTAGACCACTGAGCCATCTCTCCAGCCCCACTTGTGGTTTCTGCATAGAGTGGTGCAACTACTGTGGAAATCTGTGTGGTGATTCCTCAAAAAACTAGGGTTAGGGGCTGGTGAGATGGCTCAGTGGTCTAAAGCACCTACTTAGAACAAGCTAAACTAAGCAAAACACAGGGACTGCGGTTCAATCCCCCAGCACCACATGCCAGCCAGCCCCGTGCCCTAGTGGGCTGAGCTGGCCACACACACAAAATAAATAAATAAATAAATAAATAAATAAATAAATAAATAATATTTTTTAAAAAACTAGGGTTAGAGGTCCCATTTGACCTAGCTATTCACCTCAGGGTATCTTCTCTGAACATTTGCAAACATCATACCATAGTAATATATGTGCGTCTATATTTATAGCAGCAAAATTTCTTTTAGCTAAATCATGGAAACAACCAAAATGTTCATCAAATGAGGAACTGATAAAAAAAGGCATAAAGAGGTTTAACTCTAGACATTTTTAATTAAATGTATATACCTTAAGACCATACCATAAAGTAAGATAAATCAGACATAAATGTGTAAATATCTCCTTGTTTCTCTGATGTGAGAAAACAAAAATATAAATAAAGACCAGAGTGTACAATAAATATTGTGGAATAGGAAGAAATTATTCAAAGAAAAGTGGAACTAGTGAAGAAGTAAAGGAAGGAAGGGAAAGGGAAAAAAGTGATGAATGAAGAAAAATATATAGCTAAATTGTACCAATAAACAATCAAAATAAAGAACATTAACAAAACTGATTTTCTTATCACAGATTTGACTATAAAAATATATGCACTGGAATTCATAAAGTTAAGTGAAATAAATCAGACACATAACTTTACATATAGTATGATTTCTCTTCTATGAGAAACTAAAAATATAAAGAGCAAAATAAAAAAAAAGACAATTGGAAACAGGAAGATAGACCTTTTCCAAATGAGAAAGGGACCAAGAGATGGAGAGGGCAGGGCAAGGAAACACAAAAAGAATTAATATGTATCATGTTCATGTCCCAACTACACATAATGCATATATTCATTATGTACTGAAGACATGTACTAATGAAGAACAAAAAGAAAAGTCATCATTGTTTAATTTATGACCCTTGAATTTGCCCCAACATGCATGGTTTGCATTCAAAGAATGATTTGGACAGGAAGTATCTGGGCAAATTTAAACCATTTGTCATTTGTATATTTAAGAACAAATGTGTTTTTATTACATTTGTTTCAACAAGCAATATCAAAGTTAAAATGAAGTATGACCTAAGCTATTTGCTTAGCAGTACATCTTGGGGATAGAGGGAAAACAGTCAATAATAGTGAAAATATTGATGTTAAAGAAATGTGGCTTGTCTAGGACTCTATTAATAATAATTTGTATCTATGATTTCAAAAGTTTCACAGGTGTATGAATTTTATATATTTGGCCCTGAGCTACTCTTTTCCAACTTGGATTAAATTAGTTTATCAAATAGATATCTGCACTCAGTTTCATGGCAGGAATGTTTACAGTAGCCAAGATTGTCATTCCAAATAGTAAATGGAAGGAATCCAATAAGAAATACATAAAACCCATTGAATTGAGTATGTATATATTTTGTAACTTAAAGACAATCTAATAAACCACATTTGCTGTCATTGAAAAATATGCAAGTCAAATGAAAGATTTTATTGTATAGTTGATATAATTGAAGTATTTCACATTTTCTTTTTCCATAGCAGGCAGATAAAAAGGCCATCTGGTGATAATAGGGAAATTGAATATTTTATTTAGTTTTACTTAAATACCTATATTCAAGACTTTTGTTAGTAAACCTTTCAATCATTACATTGCATAGAATTTAATAGAATTGAAAATTCTATTACGATGCTATTTTCTTTAAATTCTTGACATTTTTAAAAATATATTATTTATACACAAAAAGTTGAGTGATTGTTTTATTTGATGATTTAATAGGTAATTTTACTTCTCGTATTTAAAATAAAAATATCTGTGAATTTAGAATAACATAATCTTCAAAATTGTGATTGTAATGTGCTTCAGGTTATAATTCAGGATGATGGCCCTGAAAAATTGGACCCCAAGTATTTTGGAGAGTTGCTTGCTGACCTAAGTCGTAAGAATACGGATCTGTATCACTGCTTATTAGAACATTTGCAGAGAATTGGAGGAAGGTATTGTAAACATGTATTTTCCTTCTATGTTGGAGCTATCAAATATACTACATTCTTACACCTTTTTGATTTTTTAAAGAGAAATTTTAGGTTCAAAAAAGAAATCCAATACCTTTAATGGCACAACTATATGAGAAAAGCTGAGCAAATGTAAGAGTTAATATTATTTATGCAAATCATTTTACAAAGTTCACACTGATACTTTTGTTATCAGAAGATAATTTTATAGGGTTTTGTAAGTATTGAGAAGGCAGATCAGTCTTTTCAGCAAATTAAGAAATGCATAAGCATGTAAAAAGGCAAAATAGTACAACTGCTTATAAGAACATGGAGAAACAGGAACTCTTACACAATGTTGATAAGGAGGTAAATTACTAGAGCAATTGTGGAAAATTGTATAGAGGGTTTTTTTTTTTGTGGAACTGGGGATTGAACTCAGGCCCTTGCACTTGCCAGGGAAGCGCTTATTCTACAGAGCTATCTCCCCAGCCTTGTATAGTTTTCTTAAAAAATAAAAATTGAACAAACATGATACAGCTATAACAATCCTGGATATATATCCAGTGGAAATGAAATTAGTATATCAAAGAGACATCTGTATGCATCTTCATTGCATGAATTTTTACAACAGCCAAGAAATAGAAACATTCTAGGTGTCTATTAAGTGATGAATATTTAAAAATAGGATGCATGTACACAATGTAAGACTGTTCAGCCATAAAATCAAATGTATCCACTTGTGGCAACATGGATAGAACTGCAGATCATTATGTTAAGTGAAATAGGCCAGACATAGAAAGACAAGTAACTTGACACTGAATAGGGAGAAATAAAGATTAGTATTTTTAAACACAAAATTGTCCATTTACACTATTTAAAAATTCTATTAATGAGGTAAGACTACTGAAGCTGTATTGTGATTCATGATTTTAACTTGCTTTAGCATCAAATATATATGTGCCATTGCTTCAATAAAACATTAAAACAAGAAGGTATTTTATTTTTGCTAGACTTCTCCAGGATTTCTATTTTGAGTAAAAAAGAACATATTACATACATACATACATACATACATACATGTAAGCTTCTGAACACAAATGTAATAACTTTGATAAGTGAAAATTACATTTTCCATACTAGCTTGCATGTTTGTATAAATATATCTAAGAGGTTTTGGGCAATGAGTGATCCACTTATTTCTTTCTTTCTTTTTTTTTTTTTTTTTTATGGAACCAGAGATTGAACTCAGGCCCTTGCGCTTGCCAGGGAAGCACTTATTCCACTGAGCCATCTCCCCAGCTCGATCCACTTATTTCTGTTAACAATATAATACATATAAACAATTATTTTAAAAGTAAATTTAGGTGCTAATGTGATAAAAGGTCTTATTCTGCCCAGTGTTTTTCTGTAATCCCAGTACTCAGGAGGCTGAGGCAGGAAGACAGCCATAAAACTGACTAGCCGGCGATACATGCTGAGTTCAAGGCCAGGCTAGGCTACATAGTGAATTCTTGTCCAAAAAAAAAAATAAAACTTTTAAAGAGTCTTACTTTGAACAGGCACATAGGGGTTTTTTTGTGTTTATTTGAGAAATATATTCATCATATATGTTTTAGCCTAATCTTTCCACTAAGTGTAGAGATAATAGGTAGATTAAAATAAAAAGACTTTGTTGCCCCTGACAATAGTTACAGTATCTTTTCCCATTTTCACTATTTCAGGAGGAATTTCCAGTCTGGTATGACCACTAATAATTCTAAAGCATTTGGCTACATTTAACATGGCTCCATAAAGGACCTCTAAATCTTCATATCCAGCTACTCATTTTGATTGATTGATTGATTGATTTTTGCATAATCAAGGATTGAATTCAGACCCCTGCACTTGCCAGGCAAGCGCTTATTCCACTAAGCCGTCTCCCTGGCCCCGCCAAGTACTCATTTTAACACCATAAATTTTATTGTCCAACTATAATTTTGGTAATTTTGCTTAACCTTTGCCTTATGTAAAGATTCAAATACCCTTCAGGATTCTTCACTGCCACAGTATATATTGAATGAATCATTCTTATCTTACAAGTTTAGATGTTTAATAAACAGAGCATAAATAACTTGAAAAGATAATAGATAAAATCTGGAACCAGCATCAAATGAGAGTAACACAAGGAGAAAAAATGAAGTGGAAATAGACTATTTTCATTCCATTCACCCAGGTAGCACTTATTGCCAAGCCCTAAGGACTTGAAGCCTCAAAGGTATACTAAGCATTTCTGTATAGTTTATCTTACTATTTAAATGTCATTCAGTTTAAATAGGTTAACTAATGCAGAGAATTTTAAAAGTTTAACTAAAAGTGCCATTTTAGCCTGCATTTTTATTTAATCTCTGATTATAAATTTAATCAGTATTATTGTGATACATCAAAATATAAACTAAAGAGCATCATAAGTATGTATGATTAGTGAATGAATTTTCTAAGATTTTCTCTTTTGTTCTTACAGCAAACAAGAATTTGAATCTACTGATGCAGTAAGTAAAAATATTTAAAATCAAATATAGTAGGTTTTGATATTTGACTAATAATATAATTTTAATTTAATACATTTGTTAGACTGAAAACACAGGTTGCTGAAAGAAATAATTATTATTTTGCCCTTAAAATAATATAACCATCATTTAAATATTTGTGGTTGCTATAAAAAGACATTCACAAAATATGTTTTATCAGCTGGCACTTTAGGATTCAATTTTAGCAGAACATTTAAATTTTCCTTGATTGCATATTCTTTGCTTTAGAAAACTAAAACCTACACTATCAACTAAATAAAATGCAAATTTAGATTTAATATGCTTCAAAACCTTGTGTATGCCAGAACCTTGCAATAAATATGTTTTACATGGGCAAGTTTTAAATAATTTCTTTTCAGTGGATAAGTAATCAAGTAGAGAAAACTGATTTCAATACAAGAAAAAACACAATAACATCATTGGTGTTAATTTTTAATCTTTATTTCAATATGTTTTAATAAATTTTATTAATTAAAATAATTCAGTAAATCCCAAATTATTTTTGAAAAACATTTATTTCAACTTCTCATTTAAAATTACTGGGGGCTGGGGAGATTCCTCAGAAGAATAAGAGCTTCCCTGCAAGTGCAAAGGTCTGAGTTAAATCCTCAGTTCCACCAAAAATATTTATTTATTTATTTTTCCATAATTTTATTGATAAACAAATAGCAATGAGACAGTTTCAAATCAAATTGGTAGGACAGTTTCAATAATTAACACATTGCATACATTCCTCCCAGTGGTTAATTGCTGTACAAGATGTGGACATGATATCCTATTTACAAACACCATTAGAAAAATCACTCTATTCATTAAGAGAATGTAACTATATATCTATCCTAACCACTTTGAATATACAGATACAAAATGGACATTCATCTGTATACTCTTTTTTTGTTAAGTTTCGTTATTTGAATATTATAGGTGTGTTAACTCAGCAAAATAATCTAAAAGAGTTCAGTAGACCATAATAGTATTGGGTCTTCTGCTTCACTGGCAATGCAAGAAATTGTTGACCTGGGTCCCCTACAGCTCAACATAAGAGCATGGCTTTACTTCTTATATTTCATTTTTATATTTTTCTGCTGGGTGGTTAAGATCAAGGTAAAGCAGGACCTATGCAGCAAGAGTTGTAGCTTTTGGGTCTGATAAGGTCAGTGAAATCCCCTCAGGATTTATCCTGAGATCCTGTACCTCAGATTGTTTGTCAGTGTCAGCCATGTGGATGAGTCACAGCCATTGCTTGGCCTATGTGCTCTCTGTGAAAGCCTGAGAGAATGCTTTCTCTCCATGTGACTCTCCTTAGGCACACTCTACGTCATCAATCACTTTCCTCTTTGGCCCCATAATCTCCTTGATCAGAAAATTTGGGACACTTCCCAGTTAAATGATGTTATAGTACAAGTTCTCATATGTCCTGAGTCTTAATTGACCTTGGGAGGCTAGGGCCAAAATGTTGGCTTTCCTTGCAGCCCTCCTTTTCATCTAATTTCGGTCTGCAAACTTAGGTTGTTACCATCCAGAAGACAAGCTTATTGTTATTACTGTACACAAAAATATTTTTAAAAATGAAAAATAAATTAAATTACTTATACTTATAAGTGCCTGCTTGGAAAGTGCAGGGTCTTGAGTTTGATATCTGATACTAATTTTTTTTCTTTTCTTTTCTTTTTTTATTTTAAAGGTCTACAGAGTGTTCAGGGTCTCACTACTAGGTTGGACTCATAATAATTCTCTCATTTACAGCCTCCAAGTGCTAGGATTATAGGTGCGTGCCACCACACCCTGTCTCAATCACCATCTCAGCACGCCAGCACAGCAAGCCAGGGGATCGAACCCCCAGCCCTTGTGCCTGCTTGCATGTGCTTTAATCTACTGAGCTATTTGGCCGGCCCTCCAAAAATTTTTTAAATTAAAAAAAAATAAAAATAAAATTACCTGAAGCTTAACCTCATTGATATGGTAATATAATCCCTCAAAAACCATGATAGTTCTTTGTAAATTATTAATAAACCCTGTAATAATTTAATTTTGTTTCCTAATGCTTGCATTATATAAAATTAAGGTTCCAATATTTCTCACTTATTGGATCGGCCAGATAGCTCAGCAGATTAAAGAGCCTACTTAGGAAGGTACAGGGACCAGGACTTGATCTCTGGCATGTCGTGCCTGCCCCACCCCGGGGGTGTGCTGAAAGGGCAACTGAGACTGGGCATGGTGGCACGTGCCTGTAATCCCAGGGTTTAAGAGGCTGAAAACAGGAGGATCATTATGAGCCTAATCTGTGTAGTCAGACCCTGTACTAAATACATTAAGAAAACCTTACCTATCATGTAAAAATATACTTTTAGTATTAGATATATAGTGAATGGTATGCTTAATGAAATTTAATGGACCATTTTTAAAATTGCTTTTCAGTTCTGGGGACTGAATTTGGGCCTTAGGCATGTTAGGCAAGCAAACATTCCATCACTCAGCTACATCACTACCTAACCTTAAATTGCTGTTTTAAAATAAAAATGAAACATTCAATTGGTTGTCTGAAGTTTTTTCTAAAAAATGACTAGAATTTAGGGCTTTTTCAATGTGTATATAATATAGCTAATTTCTTAAAAATATGAATAATGGTGTATCTAGCAACTATTCCTTAAGGACTTACTCTAAACATCCTTAAAATATGTCTTATTATGTACAATTCTGTGTATGAATGATCCTAAAATTAAAAAGTTAATGTTTTCAATGGATAAGCCTCTCTTTCCTTACAGTCAGAAGACATTGAATCACTGATTCCTAAAGGATTGTCAGAGTTTACTAAACAGCAAATTCGCTACATTCTACAGGTGAGATCAACATTAACAAAGTATTCTGTATTATACTTATTAATTGAGAAAAGAACATTCCAAATAGAAGTTGGGTTTGACAAGGTTTAACTATACTTTAATTGCATTATAGTTTAGTCAGACCATCAAGAACTAGAACTGGATGATTAAAATTGAGGTAGTCATTCTAAAAATGTTACCTTCTGCTGTCAAATGCCCTTATTGACTCCTAAGTACTGTAATACTGTTTGGCCCTAACTGATGGTTTTTGCTATTCTCTATTTTACTTCAAACTCTAATCAATACTATCCCTATACCAACACTGGTAGTAAGAGATGGAAAGGCCAAACACGCCTTGCTTTCCCTAAGTTGTAGAAGGCTAAAGACAAGTGAAACAGCAATTTCTCCCATGAAGAAGGACGAGGCAATAAATCAAGACAGCTACCTAGGAAATATGACTAAAAAAGAAGAGTATATGTATTTGGAGGAAAACATTCTAAAAATAGTTGAATTTTATCTAGTAAGGACAGTGTTTAAATTTGATATTTGTTCTTACACATTTGTTAATCTCCAAATACTGACCATGATGATGCATTTTGCAAAGTTAAATATTTTTAGAGGAATATGGTATTATAAAGAGATGGCGGTATGGGAAACATGTATGTTTCTTAAAACTTGAATCTTTGAAGCACCCTAGATATTTTATCTGAAAGGGCGATGCTTATCCAAAATGTATTGAATAGTTCTTTCTTTGAACATTTTCTGTTAACATATTATATAAACATAAACATATTATACTAGTCTGTAATATGTAAAATAAATCAACAAAGAAAAAGTCAAGGAACAAATCATTGTCTTGTTCCTCTATTTCAAAGGTCTTAACTGGTCCTCATTCTTCTCACCATTCTGACAATTTCAATATTCATTTTATATTTTATGTACAGTGTGTCTTTGTATGAAGGACTGGAGGAAAGATTTCTTCCTCCATCTCTCTATAAGTTAAAGTTGTCTTTTTAAAGTATTTTATTTAATATTTTTAAAAAGTATATTTTTAAACAACTGAGAATAAAACTTTCTCTCTCTCTTCTTTAAAATTAGAGATGGTTTTGTACTTTAGAGTTAAACTTAATTAGTATCATATTCTTCTCACCTTAGACAAAACCCATACCCTTGGCTGTAAGCTTAAGAAAATTCCTTTTATTATTGAAGGTTTACTGTGAATTCTAAATGTTAAATCAATAATTAAATTAGATACTTTGTTGATGGATATCTACCTTTTGAGAAAAATGATACTTTCTTATAAAAATATAATAAATCCCTTGCCAAATATTTAGCATGATCTCTTTAGGAATATTGCTCGAATTGCTTAAATACATTATTAACAAAATGCTTCATATCCTATCAGTATTGTCATACCACAAGTAAAATTGTGTTTGCTGATAAGATACAAAATAAGATTAATTTCTCTTATATTACCTATTTTCAAATTGTAGTAGAAATAAATCATTTATTTTCTTTCTACAGATGAGGGATATGTCTGATAAATCACTCCGGCTAATACTATCAACATTCAGTAACATAAGGGAGGAGCTTGGACATCTTCAAAATGACCTGACAGTAAGATTTATTTTTATTTTTTTCCAAATACTTTGTATTTCTTAACTTCATAACAGAAATGAAGACATTTAATATACTTGAAAAAATTAATACAAGTTTTGCTTATGCAGATATAGCCAATATACTTTCCTGAAATAGTCAGTTACCATTGAAAGAGGAGAAACTCCTCAATGTATAAATAAAAGAATGTTGCATGTGCATTTATTATTTAATTTACCACTAAGGCAGTTATTGCTTAAAGCCAGGGAGTAGGCTGCATAATTAGAATAATGTGACTTGCTGAATTGGAATTTACCCCTTTTCTGTATAATAAAGCATACTCTGAATTAGTCATCAAGCATTACTATAAAAATTTTCTCTAGGAACTTAATCTTTTCTGCTTTCTATTTAAGTGTTTCTTCTCTCAACAGCTAGATACACTCAGAACGTTTTCCATGTAATTAACTCTTTGAGAACTTTCAATTGGTTTTGGTATTTTTTTTTTTTGCTTTTTTGCCTCTGATGAATATAGTTGGACTTTAACTTGAAAATGCACTACCTGATGAAATTAACAAGGAGTAGTTATAAAGAAAATCATTAAAACACTTCAGAAGGTTCTGCTTCATTGCACTGAGTCTACTGAAACATCCCTTTCAACACGTCTTAAAATATGTCATTTAAACCTATATTTTGCTTAAATTTCAAGAATTGTTTTATTAAGCAATTACAAATGGAACAAGTGTTTTGTAAATCTTTCAGAGTAAACATGTCTTTGTATTATAAGATTATTTGAAACTTTCTATAATTCTGAGTCATAAAATAATAACTTATTCTTTTAGTCACTGGAAAATGACAAGATAAGACTTGAGAAGAACTTGGCATTCAAAGAATCTCAACTAAAAGAGTATGAAGAACTCTTGGCATCAGTGAGAGCAAATAATCGCCAGCAGCAAGTAAGTTGATGCTTTTGTTGATAAGATAAATTAATAGCTTTTTAGATGTTCAGTTTCTGGCATATTACAGTTTAGAGTTTCAATTCAGTTGCTGGCATATGATAGTTTAGATTCAATATGGAATTAAAATATGATGAAACAATGCATTCATATGAGAAATGGTTGGCTTTCCAATGACTGAATATGCTCTCAGATAAACTTGCATACTTTAAATAAAAAACTATATGCAATCACAAGTATTTCTATTGTTGGGTGATGACAAGAATAATATAAACACAAAATCCAGGTTCAATATCATAAACTCTACGAATGTGCTAATTAAAAAGCTTTTATAAATCTTAAATTATGTATGTAGCATGAACAATAAATGAATATATGAGCTCTACAGATTTCTGAACAGAGCTAATAATTCCTAGAAAATTGTAAAGAATCTCTAAGGCTCGCCCATTCTTAACTTTCACTCTGTCTTGAATTTTCATTTAGTGGCTAGTTCTCACATGTATAACCAGGCACTTGATCTTTTTGCTGCCTATAATACTATCAAATAGTAACAAGAATTTGAATACTAATTTGGAACACTGAAAATTCAGATAGTATGGATTGTTTCTTATTCAAGATAGTCAAGTGAGACTAGGAACAAAACTAATATATTACATGGGTGATTTATCATAAAAGCTAAGATTAATTATGTAAGCGAGGGCTGGTGAGATGGCTCAGCGGTCTAAAGCACCCACTTAGAACAATCTTAGCAAAGCACAGGGACCGCGGTTCAATCTCCCAGCACCACATGCCAGCCAGCCCGCCCCCTGGTGGGCTGAGCTGGCCACACACACACACACACACACACACACACACAAATAAATAAAAATTAAAAAAAAAGAATTAAGCGAATGGGAATGGAAAAATATTTGCTTGATTTGACTGAATCAATCAATTAAAACATACTCCACTGAGAAAACTGGCATGCATTTGTCTTTTGTATTTGTGTCTTCTTTACAGCAAGGACTTCAAGATTCAAGCTCAAAATGCCAGGCTTTAGAAGAAAATAATCTTTCTCTTCGACATACATTATCAGATATGGAGTACAAATTAAAAGAACTGGAGTATTGTAAATGTAATTTAGAACAAGAGAATAAAAATCTTAGATTACAGGTAAAAAAAATTTGTTTAAATATATAATGTTGCTTTAATTTTATAATTGCAATCCTAGCATTGGCACTAGTTAAGGTATACATCTATATAAGTATCATCAGTCTATTTATAAATATATATATATATATATATATATATCATATTTATTTTTAAAATGGCATGGATTACTTTCATATGACCTCACACCTGTCTTTTGTGATACTTAAATGTTATATAAAGACTTTGAAAATTTCTCTTATTATTTTCATGTCATATTTAATTATGTGTTTTTCATGTAATTTGCAAACTGTTTAACATGATATGTATTTTCTTCATATCAGTACAATTACAAACATTTATTTTGTCTTGTGTAGGTTTCTGAGACTTGCACGGGCACAATGTTGCAGGCTAAAATGGATGAAATTGGCAAACATTACATGGAAATGGTAAAAAACTTGAGACTAGAGAAAGACCGAGAGATCTGCAAGCTAAGGGTATGCTGATCCTATATTGTATAAGAACATAGTTCAAAAAAATCCTGATAGTTGCACATTTAAAGTTACGAGAAAAATTAATTTAAGTTTTAAGAATATATTACAGAATACTTTGTAATATATTCTTAATATATGTAAATGTACATCACTTGGGTTGGAGAGATAGCTTGGTGATCTAAGTGCCTGCCTGGCAAGCACAAGGACCTAGGTTCAATCCTCGGTACCACATGTTGTGCTGCCTTGCTGGCCACTGAAACTGGGTGTGGTGGCGCACACCTAGAATCCCAGGGCTGGGGACAGTGAGACAGCAGGATGACTATGAGTCTGAGCTGCATAGTGAGACCCTGTACCAAATAAATAAATAAATAAAACAGATTAAAATAAAGAACATATATCACTGCTACCTTAATCTCCTACAGGGTAGGAAGCTAAGACATTAATTCATTGTTCTGGTTTTTTTTATGAATTTACTTTGTGGGTAGGTAGATGAACCTTTCACACTTAAAGCATACTTATGTGGGCAAGAACAATATTCAAAGTTGCTCAGCAAAATCATAATTGAATTCATAAAAATCTTTAACTTTGAGATGTGATAAACATCAAGGAATTTGTCAAACACAAGGATAAAAATAGTGTTGGATTCTATGTATGTGTAACTGGTATTGAATTCAGATATTTGCAAGTATAAGTATATAGTATTTTACTGTGTAACTCTTTGTTGAATTGACTTAGTCTAACTCTTTATTGATTCCTTAATGTACTTAAATATACTTAACTATTTTAGTGGACAAGATAATTCTTTTAGTCAGTGTTCCCATTGCTGGATACAATATGCAACATATAGAATTTAAAAGAGGAAAGGTTTAATTTAGTTCACAGTTTGGGGATATTCAATCTATCATCAGCTGACTCCAAGGGAGGAATATCATACTAAAGTGGCGTGACAGAGCAAAGCTGCTTTGTTTATGATGGCTGAGGAGTAGAGCAGCGTAATAATGCCAAAGAAGATCAGGTGAAGGATGATATATACCACTCAAGGCAATTCCTCCATGACCCACCCCTAACACACTCAAGAGCTTGCCACACCAGTCTGCTACGTGTTAATTAATCTAACAAATTTGACATATCATATGGCAATGATCAAAAAGTTTTCTCTCCACATATCACTTTACAACCTTTACCAATAGAAATAAAACAAAGTCTAATTTGTTTAAAAGTATACTAAGTGTTCTACCAGATTCCTTCTATCAGTTTCCTCTTCCATCACAGCATTACTAATAGCAGGCTAACCTCACTGCCAGCTATATGTACATATGTGATGAAGAGAAAAAATGGATAAGATTTGTAGTCAGAACACATATTTTAGTGTTTTAGATTTGTTAGTACGTAGTTCTATGTCTTTTAACCTTTGGAATGATTTTATCTCTTATAAATAAGGATTATAATAATTCTTATTTAACAAGGATGCTATAAGTACTAAGAGAAGTCAGAGAAGAGGAATAGCTTGTCAATTGAATATCACAGCAAAATATCAGTATTCAAAAGGATTAGTGTATGAAGGAATCCAAAGTTCCTGTTCTCATAGCTTTATTTTAATTATTGGACTGTAAGAGTATATTTAGATAATATCATAGCTGGAATTTTAATTCATAAAATTTTGTAGAAGTATATAGTTATTGGTATCTTGCTTTTCATTTTTTCATCAACTGTACTGACTGTGTGGTAACCAAACCACACTGGAATTTAGTTAATTTTTAATCAATAAATGTTATAATAATATTTATTTCTTTCTAAATCTTTAGTCCCAATTAAATCAGTACCAGAAAGATGTTTCAAGAAGAGAAGGAAGCTGTAGTGATTTTCAGTTCAAGCTTCATGAACTGACAAGCTTGCTGGAAGAGAAGGATTCCCTCATAAAGCGTCAGTCAGAGGTAAAGAAAGGAAAGAGCTGGAAAGGAGAAAACTAATACAACTCAGTTATGTAAAAAAAAAAAAGAAAAAGAAAAAGAAACACCTTCCTTTGGACTAGAAAAAGACACATCCTTGAGATATATTTTATTATATGCCAGTGCATTGAAGGCAACTTATATTTCCAGATAAATAATTCAAATGAGATATAGAATTTAAGCAAAATTAAGTACGATTGTGTTGCACTGCTAAAATTTTAAGACATTGACTTTATATTGCATTACTAATGAACCTCGCCATAATCTTGCAAACTCCTTATTATGAGTCCTTCATCAAGGGACTGTATTACATTTCTTCCTGTATCCGCAGAATATAGTTCAGCATCTGGCATAAGTACTAAAGGAACTACCAAAAGTGGTGGGTAATACACTACTATTATTGAATTAATGGTGCTTAGAGTTAACATGCACTGATCAAGTTCTATTATTAAGCTACATCTGCTTCCATGCTGAAGCGTTGATACTTTCATGCTTTGGCTTTATTTATCAAGCTTTTTATAACAAAAACTTTCACACCTTTATCTCGAGAACTATAGCCATTCGATTTCAAGTTATCTACCAAATATAGATATCCTACTTTAGTTAGTGATCTCCTCCAAACCCATAAAACTTCTTGATTATTGTGAAGAAACACTATATGCTATTCAACTTTGGGATTTGAACACTCTTAGCACAAGGCTAAAAAAGGGAATGGTGATAGTTAGTAACCTTGTTAAATGATCAGACATGCTTACCTCATGTTTTCTATTTTTATTCCAATGATTTATCTTCTATTTGTAAGGAACTCTCAAAGTTGAGACAAGAAATATACTCATCCCATAACCAATCCTCCAGTGGTGGAAGGACTACTATTACAACCAAAAAGTAATGTATTTTTAAATAAAATTGTAATATTATTATATAATTTAAGTGATTGTACTATTAATTGATAAAGATAGATATAGATACCACTAGACAGAATTTTATATTTTCTACCACAAATGAATTATAATAAAGAATATATTCATAGCATGGCTATAATGTTAAATACAATCCTGTAACTACTTTTTCTATACTTACAATGTGTTTAATACTATGAAAGTAAAAAGAAATACGTGGGGCCAGAGATATAGCTCAGCAGTAAAGTTCCTGCCTGGCAAGTGCAAGATCTTGAGTTAGATTCCTGGCAAAAAAAAAAACCACACAAAAACACAAACAACAAACAAACAAACAAACAAACTCAATGCTTTATCCAACCATAATAGGTTGGACTTGCTGAGTTGCTCACAATGACACCCAATTTAAGCTCAAAATTAGTAAAATTACTTAGTGGGAGTTGCTTAATGTTCAGATGGTTATGAGTACTCAAAACAGGTCTTTATAAATCTTTCTTTATGTCTTGGCTCTGCTCTTTCGTGTGTAGATATTACCCTTAGACAGTTTCCCCTCACAGTAAGGATATGACTGCTACTTACATTCTAGCAATTTTTCCAAACAAAATAGAAAGTAACTATGTTTTCCATATGTAGCAACTACTCACACAGAATGTACTGCTAGCATGTACTAATAAAAATTTAAAGAGTTTCAGAAAAATCCCTACTTTGCATATTTCATGTAAATGGAATACTTGTAACTTTATTTTGTATACTCAAGATATATTCATGGTTTAGCGTATTCCGGTACTTTACTGCTTTTCTTGCTAATAATTTCCCATTTTATAAATATATGACATTTTTATCTATTTATCCAATAATCTTTACATTATTTTTAATTTTTTGGCAGTTACAAGTAATAATACTATGAATACATTTCTACAAGTTTATATAGAATATGTATTCATTTCTTTTGAGAATACACCTAGGAATTGAGAATCTAGGTAACAGGGTAATGCAATGTTTAACTTTTGAGGAACTACCATAATGCTTTTTAAAGTAGCTTTACCAGTGAACATCTACATTAGCAGTGGAGCTCAATCTTGTGCCCTGGGATATCTATTTGTCCCAGTACATGTTGTACAACATGCTATTTCGTCCTCCACTGATCAGATTTGATATGTTTCTCTAGAAACAAATGACTTTAAATATAAGGGTAAAATTTCAGACTCGCGATTTTCTTCTTTCATTTTGTTTTTTATTAAGTGTTGTGGTGTCCTGAATAGAACAGTTTTATAGTAAGTTTTGAAATTACAAGTGTGAGTCTCCATACTACCATTCTTTCCAAAATTGTTTTTGCTTTTATTAGCTCCTAGATTTTCCATATTAATCTTAGGATAATTTTGTTAATGTTTATAAAAGTTCCATCTCAAGATTTTTATAGGAATTTCATCAAATATGAAAAAACTGGCGGTACATTATAATCTTAATATTAAATATTCTGATCCAAGAGCATGAGACACCTTTCCATTTACAACCTTTTTAAATTTTTCATTTTATTTTTGTTTTTGTTTTACTTTTTTTGTAGTACTGGGGACCAAATTGGACACACTTGCCTCAAGGCTATTTTTAGTTTTTATTGTATAAGTGCCTTAGTTATTTTCTCATTGTGGGACAAAATATCTGACACTCAAACATTAATGAATGAAAGTTTTATTTTTGCTCACAGTAGTAGAGGTTTTAGTCCATAATCCAGCTCCAAGGCAGTGTGGTATGACAGAAGAGAAACAACAGTCCATCCCAGGGAAGGCAGAAAACAGCAGCAATAAGTCTTCCTTTCCCTTTTATGTCATTTAAAATATAAGACAACTGAATGGTGCCACCCACACAAAGATTAGGCCTTCCCATTTTTCATACTTAGAACTATGCTAAACTTAGCAGTAGATTAATTCAGTTATCACACACTTAATCTAGTATCAGTCATTATCCAGGTATTCACAAAAACCTCACCTTGGAGCATGTGAAGTTTCAGGGGACATTTTTGATATAAAGCATAACAAAAGTCTTAAAGGTTTTTTTTGTTAGATTTATTCCTAAGTATTATATATTATTATTTTCTAACTTTTATAAGTACATGATTATATTTATCATGAGAAATTGGTATCTGTTGATGACACATACTATTTTTATTTTTCTTTCGTTTTCTTCCCTTTCCATCTCTAGATAATCTGTTTGCAAATACCTAGATTCCTGTTTGCTATCATCTATATTTCATTTTGTCCTTTAAATTATGTATACTTCAGGTTTTTCATATAACAGAAACCATGTAGCATTTAAATTTGTGTGCCTGATTTATTTCACTTAACATTATGGTCTCAAGGTACATGAATTTTCCCACAAGTGATGTGATTTTTGTCTTTCTTTATGTCTAAATAGTGCTCTACTGTGTAAAAGTATCCCATTTTCTTTGCCTATTCAGCTGTTGATGGGCATAAAGGCCACTTCCAAGAATTAGCTACAATGATTTGTGTTGCTATACCATGATAAATTATGTGTCACTGTAATGCAATGCCTTTATTTCAGGTAGATACCTAGAAGAGGAATAGCTGCATTGAATTTCTTCTTTCAGTTTTTTTGAGGAATCTCCACCTTCATTTTCATAATGGTTGTATTAGTTACATTTCTGCCAAAAAATGTAGGATTCCATTTTCTCTGCAGCTTCATCAGCATTTGTTATATTTCATTGATGATGACCATACATTGTAGATTAAAATGGAATCTCAGTGTTATTTTAACTTGTATTTTTAGCAATTAGAAATGGTGAACATTTTTTTTCATAGATTAATTGGCAATTTGTACTCACTGTGAGAAGTATGTGTTCATTTCAGTTCCCATTTTTGATTGACCTTTTCTATTGGGGGTCTAATATTTATGTGTTCTTTATATATTCTAGATGCAACTCTTCTATCTGAGGAAAAGGAGAAAAATTTCTATTCTGTTGTCTCTTCACTCTATTGGTTCTTTGCTATGAGAAAGCTTTTCCATTTTTTATGTTTATACGTGGAATTGTTTATTTATTTTCATTTATACAATGTTCATTACAAGTTATAGGACTGCCATTAATATTCTATGTTTATTTTTCTCTGTAATTTTCCTAATTTTATTTGTTACTTCTAATAGTTTCTAATCAGACTTAAAATTTTATATGTAACTTTATCATTTGTAAATGATAGTTTGACTTCATTTTCTATCTGAACTCCAGAATATTATTTATTTTTATTGCCGAATTTCCCTCAAACCTTCAGTAGTAAATATAAGTGGCAAAAGTTGGTATACTTCTTTTTGGATCAAGGGGAAAACATTTACTCTTTTAAAAAAATCTATTTATTTATTTGGTACAAGGTCTTGCTATGCAGCTCAGACTCATAGTGATCCTTTTGTCTCAGGTTCCTTAGTGGTGAGATTACAGGTATATGTCACCACACCTGCTTTTGGTAGCCGGCTTGGTGTGGGGCTGGCCCCACATATAGTACTAGGGATCAATCTGGGATCTATGTGCTTGCCAGGCAGGCACTTGGACCTCTGAGATATCTTCCAGGCCCAACATTTACTCTTTAAGCACTAAATATGATGTTATCTGTGGGCTTTTATCAAGTTGGAGATGTTCCTTTGTAATGTTACTTTATGGAACTATTCTTTTTTTTTTTTTTTCGGAACTGGGGATTGAACTCAGACCCTTGCGCTTGCCAAGGAAGCGCTTATTCCACTGAGCCATCTCTCCAGCCCCCCTTTTTTATTTTTTTTTATGGAACTATTCTAATTGCGAAAGTATATTGAAATTTTCCAGGTGTTTCTTATATACCTATTTAGAGGGCCAGAGAGATAACTCAGTAGAATAAGCACCTGCCTGGCAAGCGCAGGGTCCTGAGTTCAATCCTTGGTACTGCAAAAGACAAATCAAGATTTTTGTCTTTTATTCTACCAATAACATTAAAGTATGTTCTGATTTTGTGACAATCCTGTGTTCTTTGAATTTATCCACTTGTTCATATTTTATCATAATCTTTGTTACTGAACTTGGTTTACAGAATTTTGTGAGAATTTTCTCCATATTCATAAATGATACATACATAGTTTTCTTTTGACATATGAAGTATGATCAAAGTATATAATAAATGTTTAAGGAAAAAATCACAGTAAAAGACACATAGCCATTAATCCCCCAAAATACTCTTCTACACTTTCAATATATTTATCCTATTATTCTTGCCACTTTGTGAAGCAGTTCTAGAACTCCTTTTGCTGGATGTCTTTACAAATTAGGATTAAAAAATACAGTGAATATTGCTGCTGAGTGATATCAAACTGAAATGTAGGTTTCTAAAACCAGTACAGTATGTCCTCATAAACTTTATTAGTGGATCTGTTACCATATGACTTCTCTAAAGTGAAAATGACTATGAAGTTAAGCATTTTTAATGGAGTCAGGACACTGAGGCAGCCAGAATTGTGAGACAAAAGACTGAAAAATGACTTCCAGAACTTTCTCAGAAAGTGACAATGATAAGTGTTTTCAAGGTGAAGAGATAAATGGCATTGTCTTTTACTGTAATAAAAATTTTAATTGAAATATAAACCATATGTTTTGATCACATCTTGTATTTTCAGATTTGGTTTCAGGGTAAAACTCACAGTGTAATGAAGAATTGTTCTATTTGGAAGAACTGGTATCAATTATTCTTTAAATAACTGATAATGTATTAGTTGGGGTTATTTGAGCCTAGGGTCTTCTTTGTAGTAAGTTATTAATTCAATCTCATTACTTGTTATACATGTACATACAGTGAGTATGTACCAAGTAGATGCCTGAAGCTTTAGATATCAAACTCTATATTTACCTAAGTTTTTTTCTTACTCATTCTTTCCCTAGATCTTAACAACATTAGCATATTATTTTTTCCCATAGTAAGTTCAGAGTTTTAACCTTTTCCCTGAAAAGAAACATATCTTTCTTTTTTGTATATTTCAATTGCCAAATTGCTACTATTGAAATTTGGGGCCATTATGAATAGCTTCATAATCACAATTATTGTGGAACCATGACTAATAACCTGATAATTGAGAAGCTACTAAGTTACTAATGACGGGTAGATAACATACCCATACAAGGAAAATACAAGAGATGATTCATATTCCAAGAGTAACAGGATAGCACAAGATTTCATTACCCTACTCAGAGCAGTGCAAAATTTAAATCTTGAAAATTGTATAGTTGGAATTTTCCATTTAATATTTTGATCATTTTACTTTCTGATTTTCACTGCATCTGATGAAAACTATGCTGTTAATCCTATGCCTGCCATTTGGCAACACACACATATGTACACAAAAATATGGTATATATAAACATAATGTATATAATAATAATTCTCCATAGATAATTCATGCTATATACTATTTTTAATCTTTTTTCTTTTATTTTAGACATTTTCTCTTGAAGTCTTCAAATTTACCTGTTTTCTTTTAGGGTGTCTAGCCTGTTATTAATCCCACTCAATATTATTTTTCTTTTGAATGCAGTGTTTATATTCTCCATCTCCTTTCTTACTGTGCCAGTATTTTCTTCTAACTTCTTAGACACTGTATATTTGTATACCTTTAACAGAGATGTACCTTCTCCACTTTTTTTTTTTTTTTTGTACTGGGAATCAAACTCAGGACCTCATGCTTGCCAGGTAGGAGCTGTGCCACTGAGAAAAATCCCTGGTCTCCACTTTTTCTACTTTTGTCAGTGTAATCTTTTGGTCTGTTTCTACTAATTTTCTCTTATTAGTCATGTCTTCCAGTTTCACTGTACAATTACTAACATTTAATGTAATGTCACATACTAAGATTTTAGACTGTTGAATTCTAGACATTTTTGGTATCATTTAAAATACTTGAAGGGCTTATTCTGGGATAATGTTAAGTATTTTGTAATACAAACACAGTAAGTAAAAACTAATAAAAGTAAATTTCAAATAACTTAATAAAGTCTCATTCTATAAACTGTTATAACAGCATACAGTCTAATCTAATTTTGTCCTGCTACAAAAGCAATAGATATGTGTTGTCTATGGGATGCCCACTACATTAGGGTTTTTTTTTACCATTAGTGGAATACAAAACTTTACAATTCTTATGTTAGCTTGAGGTATTGCCAGTCTGCTACTTTCTGCTGAAGTTTTGAGGGCTGCTTCATATACATATATTGATGAGCTATAGAAAAGTTCACATTAGTCTTATCTCTCTTCAAATTGTGGTTTTCTCTTTTCTCATATTATGCTCTACAAATTCTGGATGCCTGAGTTACCTTTGTTATGAACTCTGTTACTTCAATTTCTGAGATTTCCAAATTGTTTTATTTCCCTTTTTCTATCATGCAATCAAGAAAATCTCTCCAGGCAGAGTGCCAGGTACTTGCGGGGTTCATATAATTTACATTTCCTTCTCTGGCATCATTGTCCTTTGCTATCAGTGACCCATCACAGCTAGAGATAAAGGGTCCTCTTTTTATTATTGCTGCTTTTGAAAAACAATGGTAGTAAATTGCTGTCCAATGGGAGGGTTTTTTTTTAAGTTTAAAATCATTCAGAGGGGGCTGGGGAGATGGCTCAGTGGAATAAGCACTTCCCTGGCAAGTGCTAAAGGTCTGAGTTCAATCCCCGGTTCCGCAAATCAAATCAAATCAAATAAAAAAATAAAAAAAAATCATTCAGAGGGAAATGGTTTTAATAACAGGACTGCTTTCTCATGCTACCTATAAACATTTTTCTTATGTACAGGTACAGGACACAGTATCCAATCCTAGGCCTCCTATATGACGACTATGAATATATACCACCAGGCAGTGACACACAGACAATTGTGATTGAGAAAACAGAAGACAAATGGACTTGTGTAAGTTTATGTGATACTTGTAATTTTATTTTGACTATATTTTACCGTTTAAATGTTAAGATAAAATATCAAGTGTCATAGACAATTATGAAAGAAAATGGGGAAAGATATATTTAATTGAAATTTTTTGCTCAGTCTTGACTATGATACCTATTTCCATAGTATTTAAACATTTTAGACTTTTTAAAGAGAGGAAATACGTCTATTTTCTTACTAGAGTGTTGAGGAGATAGCTTAGTGACTTAAAGCACCTGCCTGGCAAGGACAAGGTCCAGAGTTCAATCCCCAGTACTGTAAAAAACAAATAAAAAGTCCCCTAAAAAAGCAGGGGACTCATATAAAATATATTCTTACTAAACTGTAAGATCCTCCAGCTATAAATCTTTGTAGTGAGGCTGCTGAACAGGCATTTGAATGTCATGTACTCTAATATCCACTTTCTGAAACATCCTTGAAGATGAAGTGGTAATACAGACTTCAACATCTATTTTCTAAGTACTTTAATTCATTGTAAAGGGCTCGTTATTAAAACCCTCTTCTTATAAAGATCTGACCAAAAACTTAGTTAGGTGCCTATGTGTACTTTCTCTACATGTTTTCTCTACTTTTCTAAAACTTTTACAAATTAACTTACTGTGATAGTGATCATCAAAGAGAAAATGTGTATTTTCTTGCAATTCCAAGTGTTGGAAGACAGTTTTGTTACTTATAAGTAGAGGGTGGCTATATTCTCATTTAGCAAGTAGAGGCTAAAGCTGCTGCTAATTATTCTATAATGTGGAGGATAACCACTGACAAGAAATATACTGCCAAGACATTAGTTGTACTGAGGTTGACAGACTTTCTGAATACAAGAAAATACTTTTAGGCTTATTTTTTTCTAATTGTATATTCCTACACCCTTTTTAGATATTCTAATAGAAATCCAGTAAGATCATAGGAATGTGAGACACCTCTTAGGCGCAATAGATGAAAAACGTTTTGAAATTTGAGCTTTCAAATCATACACAAATCAACTTAAAACATTTTGAAAAATAATGTATTTTGTTAAAATTCCTACCTATGAAACTGCTTACATAATAAAAGCAGGCAAAGTTAATCAGTGATTATTAAAGTAAATAGGTGGTTATTATTGGGAGGTAATCACAGATTGCAAAGGAAGTATAAAGACATTGAAGTTAGTAATAATATTGTTTCTTGAGCTGGATGATTCATGCATATGCTTGTTCAATTTCTAAAACTTTAATTAGGTGCCTATGTATACTTTCTCTACATGTTTATTCTACATCAAAATGTATACTGTGACGGGTAATTGTTGAATATACTAGTGGTAATCAAAATTCTACAGAACCTTTTGAAGAAATTTTACAATTACATTTCAAGTGTCCTGTTAATAAAATTAAGAATTGATAAATAATTCACTTTAAAATATATTTTGCTCAAAGAAACTCAACATGAGAAGTATTTTAGCTTTGAATATTTTAACTTCCATAGATACAATGAAGGTATCTGTCTATACTTGTCTGCAATCAGTGGAAGCAAGCAGTTAGTAGTATCCTTGAAACAAAAACATTCATGTAATTTGATCTTCAAAATGTTATTTTTCTTAGATCATTAATTAGCTTAGAGATACTTGTTCCTATCATCAACTGTTAAAGGGCACCTATAGAGCCAAGAATGCAAAGTTATTTGTTCCTATTATCAATTGAGCCAAAAATGTGATTAGTAGCAATTTTGTCACTCAAGAATAATTTCATGCTAAAATCTAAGACTTAACTATTGCTGTTACTAACCACGTGTGTTCCAGAAGTTGTAACAATGTGAGAAACTCCCATATAAAGGGTTGAGAATGGTAGCCATTTCTTCTTTATCCATTAAAACCTATAGCAGTAAACATTGTATTTGATATCTGGAGGGGCGATAGAAACTGGTAGCAAGATGAAAATATATTGTTCACAAATATAGAACCATTTTTATTACTAGAGACCTTTGGTCATATATTTAATCTCTAAATATGACATAAAGAATGAAATCTATTCAATCTTCCTTCCTGCTATTCATGTATGTATGTTGACTAAGGCCAAAGAAATCATTGTTTCAAGATCATACCAAAGTACCACAAAAGTACAGTGGATTCCCTTTGTTTTTATACATATCAAATAATGTTCTGTAACTGTGTATATAAATAATTTTTATGAACAAATTGTAAGATTACCTTTTTTTCTTTTCTAGCCATGAATGGATCCACTTTAAATGATTATAACTCAGAGAAGGCCATGTCTGCATTTTGTATTTTAATTGTTATTGCTCTGTTGATAAAGACCAATCAAAGTTTTGAACCATACCACTATCCAGTGAATCAAATGGAATGATTTAATTCTGCAGATGAGTTTCTCCACCTATTTATGAGACTTGAATCTTTTCTGTAACATTTATGTATTCAGTATACATACAAACCAAAGAAGAAACCTGCTTGTTAAACTTTGATTAGAGATACTGTAGAACATAATCCACAATTTTTCAGACAGGGTGCTTTCTATATATTGAACTAAGTTGTAGGGGGCAGAGACTTAGCAGATTTTCTCTGATGTGAGATACATGATTCTGCCGCAAGATTTAATAATGTTTTTAACAAAAAGAGGCTAAAGTCATTTGAAAAAAATTTTAAAATAGTTTAATGCATTAAAAAGATGGTCTAAATTTGCTTTTCTCATATTAAGCCTCTGACTGAAAAACGTTTTATTGCATGTTATGTACAATTCTTGGAAACATATCAAAGGTGATAGTTAATTTCATTTAGCAGGGAAGTGGGATATCTTTTAAAATAACTAAATCTACTTAATTTTATATTATGCTACTTAGTCCTAAGTACATGTCAGTCCCTTTGCAAGTCTGTCATTTTGAAGCATATTTGCACTCAAATTAGCCCACTTGCATCCTTCAAAGCATGTAACACTATATTGTAGTTGTAGGCAGAAACAAGGTAAACTTTTTCATAGTGCCATACAAACGTAATACTTAAATACTATACAGATATAAAGGCTTAAGGCATAAATTATAGAAACAACACGTATTTGATAGCTGTATTCCACTTGGAAGAAAAACTTTACAGTATTTAATTTATTCAAGTTTACAAAAATATTTCTTAAATACATTATAAGAATGAATTTTTAAAAGAAATTTCAGCCCATGGCAGTTAAAAACTCAGCACTTTTCTGACTCAATCTATGGCTAGGGAATTGAGGTTCATGAAAAGCTCCTTACGCTACCTAACATTTTTTAAAAAGTCATACAAAATTTAGCAGTACAGAGAACTGTATTTTCAAAATACGTATTTGGCTTCAAATTTGTGATTGAGATAAACAGAAAAGGTAGTGCTGTCATTTCCTCTCACCAGTTTAAGGCAGCTTATATACGAAAATTGCAAATATATGAAAAAAGCAGCTTGTTTATATAATTTGTATTTTATTGTTTTCACTTTAGACTTGTCAAATAAAATTGATACTATAATAACATGCAAAGTAATTTGCTTATGTATCTGAATATGTTAATAATCTGCATGTTTGTCATGGAAGCTAGGGCAGGAAGAATTACAGATGGATATTTAGCTTAGCTTTCTATTTTCATCAGAGTTACTATCATGTGAGTATTTATTTTTCAACTAAAAAGCACCACTCTAATAAAAGAACCAAACAAACCATACAAGGACTTCCTGATGTAAAATACTACAGATGGCACTTAACATAGTTTGACCTCAAGTTGACTCAGATCACTGTTTCAAATTAGAATTTCTTTGCTTAAAAATCTAGTTTTTATGGTCCACAACTTACTTAATTTAGACATAAGCTTCCATAATACATTCTTGTCATCTTTATAATGATGCTTTATCTGTTACTTTTTCTTAACATAGGCAGTACAAAATGAACGAAATAAATCTTTAAAAAATTGTATCTCTACGTCCATTTTATATCTCTACAAAAACCCATATCTCCTCATTATTGCAACATACAAAGTTTTTTTCAAGTAAATGTGAAAGTATTTCTGCAGATGGTATATATTCCCCATCACACAAATTAAACTTATGTTTCATAGTACTTTCTGCATAACTAAAAATATAAAATACTTCATGTTTGGGGGAAACTATCTGCTCAGGCCCCCCTCCTGTCCCTTTCTTGGACAGGAGCTTTCTTTCTCTCAATAAATATATTCTGCTCATAAAAAATACTTCATGTTCACCCTAGGATAAATAGTAAATAGAAAATACTTAAATACAGAACATAACCCATTTTTTAAAATAAAATCTTTAAAAATATTTATTCCAGAATAAGATATACTTTGTTTAGTCTACAAAGGAATAGTGGATTTGTTATTTGATATACTTACATGATAACGAATATCAATTTTATGAAAGTTTTGCTAATCTTCTTGGATTCACCTCTTTTCTAGACAATGAAATGATATGTCCATGGTCTTGAACTTTGTATTCTCAATCCATGCCACACTAAAATAATACTTTTATTACTGAAGGACATGTTTCCAAAATACTTTGTTAAAGGCCAGCATTTGTAATTTTTCTTTGATTCCATAGACCACAGTCAATGTTGAACAGTCCTTGTTCATTTGTGCCAAGATTCAACAAAGCAGACCAGTCATTTTTTTTTAATAGAGTATAGACTTTTTTATACAGTTCACTGTAGAGGTCTGATGACAGGTTGTGACCTAGAAGTTTTATAATCTTGAAGTGATAGAAATCTTTTACAGCTTTCCATGATACAAACAGCCCACTGTGGCATGCATGCTACAGATCTGCCAACACTGATCTAGGATAACAGCATTTTAGAGTGAAGTGAGAGACTAGGGCTTACTTTAGAGGTTAAATGATACAATCTCAATATTGTCAATTGGTTCAGAATTTAAAATGGAGCAGGATTCTTTGAAATTACTTGGGAGATGTTCAAAGAAAAAGGTATATCATTTGAAATTGGCATATGGACTACTTTTAGCATAGAACACAGTGCTACACAGAACTCTGAACCTGCCAATAGCAAACAATATGCTGAGATGTTTTTTCTAGCATGACTTATGCCATTTAGAATTGACAAATAGATAAAACAACATTTTTAGATGGAAGCTGTTATGCATATGGTGAAGGTTTGTTCCAGTAAATTTGTATTTTTAAGGTAGTATTTCTTTGTACACTGGACTGAATTCATGTTTTACCTGGGTTGAAGTTTTCTAGGCTAATTTATAAGAAAATCCATTCATTTATCATCCAGCTCCACTCTAACAACAAATAGCAGGAGAGATTTAACACAGATCTGTGCACCTTCAGAAATTCTATTATTCATTCATGTAACCATGGGTTACACAGGTCCTCTTCAAAATGTAAATAGTGACAGATTAATTCTTTCACAAAACTCTTAAATGGCTTTGCACTTTAAACTTCTCACAGGTCCTAATTCTTTTCATCCCTCACAGTTATCCACCCAAAATTTGTTCTTTCTCAGTTACTTATATTTATAGAATTCTCAGCCTTGGTCTCCCACAAGAACTTTATATAACTAGCTCCTTCTTGCCACTCATGTCTCAGCTCAAATAATGTGTCCTCAGTAAGGATTGCCTCTATTCTCTCACACATACTTATATGATTAAGTAGAAACATGGAAGTGTGCCATAATTTCATTGGGTGCTTTGCTGTAACACAGTCATGTGGTAGCAACAAGTAGAAGCTTGCTAAAAATGTTAAATTATAGGATTCACTTTTGAGTTAAAATCTACATGTCACCTAGCTTCTCAAGTAAATTCCAGTTGAGCAGCACTGATTGTAAGATGTAAATCTAATAGGCTTCTTTTTAAAGAACATTAATCCAATTGACAGATTTTCAATAGGTCTATACATTGAGGTGTGTGATTTCTATTAAAGGCTGATTGACTGGAATACAGCTACATAGTTACATGCTCATTTCCAGAAGCCTTTCCTAAATATCTAAATCAATACTTCTTATTTATGTTGGAAACATGATTAGACTTATTACTTTCCCAGGACTACATTATAGAAACAGATTAAGAACCTTTGCTTTTCATCAGGTCTCAAAATAGCCATTTGTATTTATAGCATTTCATCATTGTTTTAGCAAATAATGTACATCCTTGATGAACAAGCATGTGATAGTCACCATAAATATTTAAATTCCTAGCTCATGTTGTTGTTACTGTATACAAATTTCAACCGGATGTCAGAAAAGGACCCAAACTAGCTAAGAGAAGTTTTAAAAGTCTTTTAGTAAGGAATGAACACTAGAATAAAACTATAAATAAACTCGTAATACCTTGAGGTGCAATAAATGCTTTTTTATTGTATGCTCATTTCAATGAATAACATTGAGAAATAATAATCCCACATAACAGTGACAATCTTATTTTACAGCGTGTACATCATTTACAGCCACATAACACACACTTTTATTAGATTTTCCAAATTTAATATTCAGAAGTTAGGAAAGATAAAAAAATGTATTCTCAAGTAACTGATTCTTATCTGGTGCAAAAACAGAAAAGTGAACAGTATTTGAAACACAAAGCCACAATATAGCATGAAGTAAAATTACGTTGAACAGCTGAATATAAACATGAAGCAACTAAAACTTAAAAGTACACATCATGTGCATTATATTTATGAACAGATTTTCATTAAGTTTCCCTAAACCAGCTTTTAATATTAAGCGCCATTTTGATCTGCAGCATGCTAACACAAAGCGTTGTTAAAAGGATGCATATTTTAAATTTATACACTGTAAACTGAATACCCACCTCCAAACTCTATTGGCAGCATACTGTTTTTGTTAAATACAGCATAAATACTGCCTCACATTGAAAATGTATGTTAATAACATGGTATATAGGTTTTAAAAATCAAAAACTTCAATAATGGCATAAAATTGCACCTTTAAACATTAGAGCAAGTAAAACTAGAACAATCATACTTGCTAAGACTGTCCTAAAAAAAACCTCCAAACATTATATTTAAGAAAACTGTGTTCTCTCAATTTAATCTTGAAATCATTAAGAAATATAGTGCTGTTATTGTTTGCAACACTACAGTTGCATCCATCTTAGAGAGCCACATTTGACTCAAATATACTTTTGTCATATATCCAATACTGAACAATAATCAACTTGCACATAGGAAAAAAGGGAACTTCAGTCCTAGGATTTCGCCTCAGATTTCAGCACAGAATTCTGTATGTTAAACATCTTACCTGTGATAAAATATTAGCAGCTCTGAAATTCTTTTTTTCATAGTACTGAATTACACTAACCTGTTTTTCAGTGAAATTTCCCTTAATGAATACACAAAACATTTGCTGTTTCTGGAAATCAGTGTCCAGTTACAATATAAAAGGCTCAATGATTAAGTGACTGATGAATTTTGTCTCCCCACCCTGTTTCTAAAATTGCATAAAAGTGAGGCTTTGCTTGCTATAGCAAAGCATTGTTAAAATCCACTCTTTTCAGAAACATCTGTCTCTAGTATGATCAACCAATTAAGGAATATGTATTTACTTCTCTGTATTTTAATTATGCATAAAATACTATTAAATAGACATTTAAGTCTTCTTGCAACCATTCTATGGTGCTTTTAAGTTCTTTAACTTTTAAGGGGTTATGAGATTTCCCCATCAATTCAAATATTTTAAGATCTTTAATACAAATAATGTGAAGTTATGATTTAATATTGTTTTCAAACTAGAAGAAACAGTGAGGTCTTCTTCCCAGGTGTCATATAACATTTTCTAAATGGCTTTTTAAAATATATGTCTTACATAAGAGCCTCCTTGTGGTGCCTCATAATATGCTGATTTTTTTCTGATGGTCTACGGAATCCCTTCTTGCAGAATTCACACCTGTGTGGATAGTCTTTTGTATGTATTGAGATCACATGTCGTTTAAAGCCAGATGCATCTGTAGTGCTGTATTCACAATACTCACATTGGTAAATCTTCCTTCCAGTATGAGTCTTCATATGCTTTTTGAGCTCATTTTGTTGTCTGAACCCTCTCTTGCACCTTTTACACTTCAATGATTGATCCTTAGTATGAACTGAAAGGATATGACCACTAAGAATAAATGGATCTGATGTTTTAAAGTCACAATGCCTGCATTGATGAATCTTCCTACCCTTATGAATATCACTATGCTTTTTGAGCTCAGATGGACGATGGAAACCTTTATCACAGACCTCACATTTGTGAGGGAAATCCTTGGTGTGGACAGATATGATGTGCCGCTTAAGGTCACTTGAATTGGTGCTCTTATGATCACAATGAGGACACTGGTGTGTCTTATGTCCTTGAAACAAATCCAGATGGCGTTGAAGCTCTCTTTCATCACCAAATGCTTGGGGACAATGCTCACATTTATATGGCAAATTATTACCATGCTTAGACTTAATGTGAGTTTTCAGATTAGACTGATCTGCACACCTGAAGACACAATACTGACACTGATATGGCTTCTCACCAGTATGGGTTCTCATGTGTTTCTTGAGTTCAGAGGGATGTCGAAAACCCTTTCCACACTCAACACAAACATGAGGAAAATTCTTGCTATGAACAGCCAGCAAATGTCTATTCAAAAGTCCTTGCTCTGCAGTTTCATAGTCACAATATTTGCATTTGTGCATCTTCGGCTCCTTATCTCTTAAGATAAGTTTATTTGAACTCAGTGGGCTAGCCTCTCTGTATCTTCGTGTGTATTCTGTAAATTCATGAGATTTTTCAACTTTGTTTATAAGCTTATGGCTTTCTAAGTGGTTATGGAAACTCACTTTCTTGTTAGTTGTAAAGTCACAATCTGTACACTGATATTTTTTTCTCATCAAATGATCAGGATGATTCTTCATGTGCCTTTTTAAGAATCCCCTGGATTTAAACTTTTTTGTGCAAATATGGCAAGGGTATACTGTCAGGGGCTGCCCATCAGGACCTATTATAACAGCTAAATAAAAAAAAAGGAAATTGTGACATTTGGTCAGACTGCTTTGAAGAAATTTATAGCAAAGGTGCCAAAACTAGCTGACATTCACTATTAGGAAACTATACTAGATGAATAAAATCCTGTAAGATAAAAAATGAACATTAAAACAAATATATTATAAAGTAATTCAATTAAAAGTAATGAATGGCACTCTACTAAATACCACTCTTGCACCATAATGTTATCATGTGTACTTTGAAAGCTAAAGTGAACACATCCTCTACTGTTAAAACAAATCTTAAAATTCTATTTAAAAACCATTTTTCAAAAAGAGAAAAATGGAGTTTTATTAAGTACCAGTCACAAGTTATAAAACAAGTCCACATGCTACACAAGTAGGTACATGGAAGGTTCGACTATCCTGTATGTTATTGAGTTTTTCCTTTGGTTACAAAAATAATTGCACATTTGAACTTGTTAAAATATTCATAAAGGAAAGTATTTTACCTGTTTGCCACTGCCTTGTTTCTCCCTTTCTCCTCTTCTTGGCTTTTTGTTTAAGGATTTTGTTGGTATTAATGCTATCACAAATTTGAAGGTACTGTGCTGCTGTATTACTTCTGTTTTCCAATGTTGAGTCCAAAGGGTTTCCTAGGAAAAATTGGTACATTATTAAACTAAATATATTTACATGTTTTTGCTTTAACAGAAAAATTAGTAAATTTCAAAATGTATACTCATCTTCATATTCTCCCCATCTCTTTTACACACACACACACACACACACACACACAAACACACACAGAGTGATTATGAAAACACTTTGAAAATGGTATCACATGAAATAAATCTTAAAATATATCAATTTGATCATCACAAACAAATGAATTAGTTACATGAATGTAACACAAGAAACTGAATGTTATGTGTCAGTGAGATAGCTCAATGGTCTCAAGTGCCTGCTTAGGCAAGCTTAAGCAGGCAAAGGGGACTGCAGTTCGATCCCTGGCACCACATACCATGCCAGCCCTGCCCTCCAGATGTGCTGAACTGGCCAAAAATAAAAAAGAGAAACTGAATTTTCTAACCCTCTACCAAATCTTGGCATCAGACCACTTTCTCACCAAATGAGGCTTATGAAATTAAAATGAGTTAGCAAGAAATATATACATATTATAGTTAATTAAAATAGGGTAAGTATATGATAATATATAATAAAATCATATATATGCTTTACAGTAGTGTAACTTATGTGAAGAATATTAAATACTAAGTATCAAGACTGATTTTAGGGATTAAAATTAATATGGCAGGCAATATTGCAATTTCATTTTGATCACTGCATAAAGAACAATGTCCTTAACAAAGCACAAATCTATCATGCCCTCATTTAATTTAGCTTTAAAATGCATGTGGACAAAACTGTCAATTTAGCTTACATGCTGTGATAAATAGTTCTCATAAATTTCTGAGGTCTGCATTTAAATTTAGAGTCAAATACTGCGCAAAGGCAGAAAATAATAACCAGACACTTGGTCATAAGAAAGTCTCCTTGTGGGCCGAGGAGCTAGCTCAGTAAAATAAGCACTTCCCTGGCAAGCACAACAGCCTGATTTCAATCCCCGGTTCTGCCAAAAAAAAAAAAAAAAAAAAA